CGCAACATGATACGCGATCAAATTTTCACTCAATTGCAGGCCAGTACAGATATGGTACGTTGTCGAAGAAATCTGCTCAAGGAGAACTCCTCGTACACCGTAGTTATGACGCTTTCGCAGCAGTATACGGTGGTTAACCCCGTCAAAATCTTTTGATAATTCTAAGTGTACTACATTTTCTGCCTACCTTGCATCAACTGATCTTGTTCACTCACCTCGTGCAAGTATCAGATTTGTGGTGCACGAGCGTTTTCTCAGAAACCCGTGCTAGTCCAGTGAAAGAACGCTTTATTTCTCGAAATGCTCTATCAGAGAATCAGCAACAATCGATTACATTGTTTTTGGCAGAACATGAAGAAGTGTAACTGGAAGGTATTTCTCAAAATTACTTCTGCAGTCACTTTTGTAAATAGGTTAAACGATGCCGTTTCCGGGACTGAGGAATCTACGGCTTGTAAAACATTCTTTGGTATAGATGAACAATTATTTCAGATGAGCAACTTTCCAAAGATGTTAGGATCTGTGGACGGATATTGTCTTCCCGTGGAGATGAATTCCCATGCAACGCTTTCACCGTTTCAGATTTGAAGTTGACGGTGATCAATTGGGGGTATGGGACACTTGGCAGAAGGTATGGACCCTGTAATCCGAGTTTTTCACCTGCAGCAAACACTTCATAGAACTGGCCTTTTAGGAATTGGGCTGCCTCAGAATTAGCAGTTGAAGCGCGTCCTGCGTGCATTTGTGCTGGTATTTCTTATTTCACTTTTCCGGTGAAATTGCTATGCTTGTATATGAGCTTTCAATTTGAAATAAATTTGTGTGCCAGGATTTCCTGATAACCTCCGTCTATCCTATCTCAATAATTTTACACAAAGGTTTCTCAACATGATATAGTTATCCCAAGTATCTCGGCGGTTCGACATCTTTTAAACTCTTGCCAAGAGAAATTCCTCTACGACACCTATTTCTTGATTTGACTGCGGATAGGTGGTATTCGTTTAGGTGACGTACAGATGGGTTTGATTTTTGTAGGAACCCTAAGAGCTTTGTTAGAGTGTCAATCAATCTTTTCCAGGACTCCAGTGGATCTACCTGCCTTTCCGGTTGAGTCCATTTCTTGAAAGCAGCAAGGTTTAGCAATTTTCTCAAGTCAATAACGGTGCGCATGTTGGTTTTCAGGCATAATTCTATTGAGGTGTGGTAAATGTAATCGACAAGCAGAACTGTATGGTCGCTTTGTCCTAATGGAGACGTGATTTTGGCCGATTCGACCATAAGCTCCCCGCTTGTGGGATTCTTTACGTGATTATGCATCGGATGTGGGTTCATGAACTGTGATAAATTTCGCTCGAATCGGTGGTGATAGTTCTGGCTTTTTATAAAATTGGAGAACATGTGTGAACTTTACTGAGGAAGTGTATCTCATAGTCTGCAATAGTGTCTTGTTAGCTAAGTCTGAGGATGCAGGAGGGCGGTAGGCAACAACGATCGAATAATTGCTATCTTTGGACAGCCTCATGGTGCAACAAAGTGTGTTGGGGGCTGCATCAAAGAGATCAAGTAGTTCCTATTGAAGACTGCTGCGAAAATATAGCAGCAGCACTCCGCCACCCACACCTTTTTGGTTGTGGCAGTTGTCACTGGTGCGATTGGGTATCGAGGAGTATTGGGCACCTTGGAAGTTGGGTCCTGTCGAAATGGTGCATGATCCGATGAACTGGACACCGGCCCACAATGGATTACAGTCCCACTGCCTTGCGGGTTAAGCTTTGCTAGCCGATGGTTCCGGTTGGGGAGAAAATTCACCTGCCTTGGCCTGAGCAATCTGGCGGGTGGTATCGTGCTCTCGAGCAATTTATGAAACGCTTTTATATTTTATAAAGATTTTTGTCCCGTGCTTTGTTTGACATAGCCTGTATTCAGACGTGTGTGAATTACAACTACTTACAATTAGAACCTGTTCTCTCTCTGTGCATAACGTTGATGGTCAAATAAGCATAGTGTTATAGCATGGTATCAAGTTCAACGAAGTGAAAACAGAATCAGTTCAAAATCTAAATGGAATGCATAAACACACACGCATATCGGTGCAACTCACTTGTTTTATCCAAGAATTGTTCTCGGTCGACCGGGGGTAACGGGATGTTCAAACTGCGCCAGTTTAACAATGCACCCATCGCAACCTCATCGTGATCCGCTTGCACAATTGTAGGGATCAGTGTGGATTGTAATGCACAACCTTTAGCTACACCACACCAGACACGGAGCACGTTTTCTTTTAACTGTTTACTTCCCTGAGGTTTTCGACTCTCGCTACTACTACTACTCGTGGAGATTGTATTTGTACTGTCCTCGTGTCGTAAGGTCAAATGGAATCCGTTCTCGGCAAAATCCAGTGCTTGCTGATAGTCCTGGCTTTGGGTCACGTGGAAATGGGCCAACAATACGGCCACATCGGCTGACATATTCATGTCGTCGCACAGTTCCGTCAAAGTACCTAGTTCGACAAGGTACTGTTGTGCCGAATCAATTTGGGAAAGTCTGTCGGAGATGGGATAAACGAATGAGACTATGCTCAAAATGGGGATAGGGTCCCTAAATATTGCATAGTTTTGTTTGCTGATCAATCTGATGCGGAATCGATCGCCGGATTGGCAGTACGAAAGTGGACATTGTTGCACTGGTCAAGCGCCTCCCCCCCGCAATTCGTCGCTTGACCGTTGTCTGAACCGTTGACTGCATGTGCTTACTGGCGGAAGGAACCGATAGCGACTAATATAATATAAACACACGTATATACTTGTCATTCGGACTCTGTTCAGTTTTAAGATCGATTCCCCCCTTCATCGATCAGACTTTGGTACTGAGTTGTCCGTTTTCAAGAGTCGTTCCCTGATCGAATTGACCTCAACTCGATTATATTCAACACACACTTGTGGTTTTCGGTTTATTTGCTTGCTTTTATGTATACGGATATACTCATGTTTTCACCAAGGTCTACACGGATACTGGTGAAACAATTTCCGGTCATTCTCCTGTCATGTGGCACCCACCCATCGAGGAGTTGAAAAAAAGTTAGCAAATTCCAGAAACTGTGACATTTACTTGACTTGCTAACATGCTAGTCTGTGATGTATGCTTTTAAGTAATATGAAAATTCGATCAGGATATTTGTGACAAATAAACAGGATCGATGAAAATCCGGTTGGTACCATTACTTGGTACCATGATTCATTTTTAAATGCCGTTTGTTTAAAGCGGGATACAAACAAACGGTACCGTCTTTATATCGAAGAAATTTAAATCTTTTATGAAGCCCTCAGCTTGAAGTTAGAACGTTGCACTCGGAATATGGCCAGTTTTCAGGTTTGATTGACTACTTATCCAGAAACCACTTATCTTTCCTGTGAGGAAAATGTTTTAGCTCAATTACCGGATTTTCATTATAAATACTGTCCCCTTTATTGATAATTGAGCACATGGGTGTCTTACATGATCTAAAACGGTTTTGAATGTAATGACGTCACAAAATTAGGGCATAGAAGATGATTCAAACTAGATAGCAAAACTGATCTTAAGTGTAACCATGTAATTGAAAGCAAGTGAAACATCTTTTACTGGATACACGTGGTAGGTTGAGTCCTTTTCTCAATATTTCATGCTCCCTTTGTTCGCTATGCAATATTCCCCAGCTTTTTTCTGATGGACCAGGTGTACAACTAATGTCTGTAAACATCCGTTCGTTCGTTCGCCCGTTTTTTGTTGTTGCCGGTGTATACGGAAACCGATCAATATGCATTGGTCGACATTAGTATCGCCGTTATTAGTCATGACCTTAGTGACTGATTAAGATCGACACCTGATTCGCGAATTAGAAGTGCATCGCTGAAACACAGTAATGAAGCGCCCTACCAGTGAGCACTCTAATTTTCTCAGTGCCATAAGAAGGACAACTGTGATTAGCATTCAGGCATTCACACAATCTGGTCAGTGAGACAGGGGTTATCCATCGACGGGAAACCTGGCATCCTGTTTGGAAAGCTACACCAGCGAGACAGAATCCATGGATCAACCAGGGTTCAATTCCACCAGCAAGATTAATCTTGCGATCGCAAACAGTCACCGTTTTGGTGACCACAGTAAGAAAAATGACGACAAAAGCTGGATATACACAAACCACTGTTCCCACAGTATTGCAGAAGAAGCTGGTGTAGAGTAAAAACAATTATTTCTAGCAACATCATAAATTGTCGGTTGTCTTAATTTGATTCTCTTTTGGAACTCCACCAATGCGCTCTTCACATCAGACGGCAACTTTCCTGAGATGCAAAAGAGTGGACAAATTGTCCGATAATCGTTCAGCTGGATATAGCATTGTAAAAGGTGTTCTTTGAAATACCAAGTGATTTTACTGCATAGTTCTGAGTTGCACCTAACTCCATCAACCCTTTTAACACATTTCGCTTCTCTTTGATAAACAGGCACATGCACATTGTCCCGTTTTGGACTGCTGGCATCTGTGTGCCTTCCTCACAAAGGTAATCCAGCTAGTGAACAGCCTCAATTTTGCGTCGCACTAGGTGAGATGTCCTTGGGTGAATGAGATATTGCACTTTGATTGGCCAATGGGCAATCCCCGTAAATCGATCAGTGACCCAGTGAGTACGTATCAAGATATGCGGCACACTGGGGAAGGGGGGGGGGGGGGCGAAGTTGAATGGGCAAGACCCACATTGGGTTTGGTTTGAGTTTGCTGAAAAGTGCGAACATACGTCTCATAGGTACGATATAGTAGAAGATTGACTGGAATTGCATAGTGGTTTCGTCCCACCAGTATGTACACAATTCTCGGGTGACTAGAATGTAGCGGAATTCAAACCGAACCGGGGAGAAAGTTTAACAATACCAGCAAACCACAATTTTATTTCTGCCTCTCCAGTTAGAAACTTAGCAAATAGTGTGACCAGGCAAGAAGGACAAGGACTACAAAAGTCACCCGAGAATGTATGATCAGTATTAGTTCGGAGTCCTTCCTCTAAAGTGTACCGTAATTCACTCGCGTGTACCAACCGTGTTCGCTGTACGTCTGAGTGATTTTTGTCCAAAGGTGTGACCGGGTCTCTGTGATAACCCAAAGTCGATTACTTTTTTCAGATAAAGCCGCTGTCGGTTCTCATACAATTCACCTAGTTCCAACACGGTAATGGGCCTCAGTTCCATGTACCCATATTACAACGTTGCATTGGTCACCCGATTTCGAAGGTCATCTGACTAAATGGCGTATTTTCCGTCAATATTTATTTGGATCAATAATCTATTTACTGGTGTTTCCGTCTGATGATTACCACTTCTACAGTGTAACACACAATCTGTGCTCTAATCAGCTTTCTGGATAAGAAGCAATGCATTGATACGACCATGACTTGACGTTAGAGCATGAAAAAGCTCGCTTCCGTTAGAGCTACCCGCCTCCCTGATTGGAGCCCAGTGAATGAGGGTTTGCTTTAGTTAGGAAAGCTGAGATAAACAAGTGAGAATGGAAGTTAGTGGCGCGAATGGTGTACGGTCTAACTGCGGAAATATATATATCTTTAATACTGACTTGCGGACAAGCATCGTGCCACGCCACAATAATAATAACAACAAGAACAAGAACACGGGATGAGTAGATTGGGATACAAAACAGAGTAAAAGGAAAACGAAACTGATATAATGGAAAATTATAGATGACTGGGAGAACAATTCCGGGTGATATCTCTCAGCGTCTCTGACCAATGATAATCCGCATCCCTTGGACCCCAACCTGAAAGACGGGTTGCACCAACTGAAACCAAATATGAAACCAGCCATTTTCATGCCTCTACGTCATGTCGTGGTCTGACCGCCGCGCGCTTTTTCCCGCCTTGTCCGGCAAGTGCAAAGAGAGAACGAAAAGGTAGTCGATGGGCAGGCATAGACAATATATGACCAAGCCATCGGAGGCGGTGTAGAGCGATTACTTCTGTTAGAGAGTGATTATCCATTACTCACTCGGTGTTCCCACCAGACACGAGCAATGCTTCGGAGACATCGGTGGTCGAATACAGAAAGCCGTGACCCACGAAGAGTAAAAAAACAACACAGTCAGTGAGGAAACGGGCTCCTAAAACTCACTCAATCAATGAGCTGATTGAAAGCATTGTGCAACCGATGTGTGACGGACGAGCCGAAGCCAGTCGAGCGAATTGTGGCCGCATCATAGTAATGCATGCATCTACACCCTAACTCAAGCCAATCTTGACTACCGGACATGGACAATAGATCCATCTTTTTCTTTCAGCTAAGCGTTTCCATCAGCGGCTATGTGTGGGACCCCATTTGGATAGCTCAGGTTGAGTGAATCGTTATGTGGTCGTCGCAACCAGAATTGAAGCACGTCAGGAAGGCTTAAAGTTAAATGATTTGCATTGGACTTGTTTCCTCTGGGATAGATTGGGGGATGATGCTAATGGCAACCAGGTAGTGCGTCATCCATTACACATTGTTTATTGGACAAACGTGACTTAACCGCAGCCATGGTGAGAGCGAACAGGTCCATCCCTAATGGGTGTTTAGGGCGATTCAAGCCACGGGGGAATTAGTGACGTCATAAGATTTATATTTCCACTTTGTCCAACACGTGCCCCTCATGATTCAACACGTACTTCGGTAAACCTTTGGATACACCCTCCTCTGTACCAAGATCCACCTCTCAATAGCATGCATTGCTTTTCCTTATACATGAATGTTACCCATTTACATCCTTGCAGTGCCGTGTTTGTTTATCTGCACAACTGGTCCTCCTCGAGCCATGAGACAGTGCTCAGGCTCTCCGCTGAACAACAATAGCATCTTGCTTTAAAGTGTGTTAATATCAAATAAATATCATGATCACTGGTCTATGGTCATCGCACTTCTGTTGATGACATTACTCATTGGCCTTGTGCTAATTAATTGAATACCCGGTCCTGAGTTGCTGCACCATTTGAGATGGTAACTTTTCTGGTAAATCATTTACTAGACGTAAACTATTCACTTGGAACTTGGTATTCGGATCTTTGCATCACTCACTTACTGGACAACGGTTTGATGTAATGCGAATGAGAGAGACTGCACTGGTGCGTGTTTTAAGTTCCGGTTTGTACAATCAATAATCATGCAATTTTGCGCACCGGTTTCGGTTGCTGTCTTTTGACTGACCATTAAGATGAGGTAGAGCAGAAAGAAAGGAAGTTCGAAAGTAGAGTTCAAAAGAAAAAACGGAGAATTCCTGTGCACCACATTGATTAGAGTGATCCCGCGGTCCCCATTCAGAGAGTCTCAGGCGGCATATTGACCGAGTCCTCTGATTAACGTTTTCATATCCTTGTAACAGGTCTAATTTTGATGACTATTGACTTTTCCACCCACCAACTGCTTTGGCAAACAGAGCGCGCCGTGGCAAACTATTTTGTATTATGCGTAGCACAGCACACAACCAATGTAGCCTATGTAGGTTGACCATTGGCTTAAGTGGACGACCGCGGTAAATCAAAACTTTGCGGCTAACCTTAGCATTGCTCGTCCGGCTGCCCCATCAGATTCGTGCAGTGCTGCGTAGACAGCGATACTCGAACACAAACAGTCCATTTTTATCCTGTTTTCTTAATGACCAAATTTCTGCAATTTAAAGCAGGACTGACCGAACTGGTATAGCATGCACTCCACCCTTCACGGACAACTGGATGTCGCGACGGGACCACAGTTTTCTCAAGTTGGCAAATGCCAATCAAGCCTTCTGTATGCAGGCTGAAACTTTATCCATGGTGCTTCCGCCGGGTGAGATATAACTGCCCAAATAATATACCTGTTTGCTTGTTCTATTACTTCCCGAATTAGAGTGAGGTTGGGGGCCGGAACAACCCAGTCTTATATCGACGTTTGTAGCACTTTGCAAGTCTTGATTTGCGATCATGGTGTCCACTTCAGTTTGGTCAATGATCTCACGAATGTACTAAGATTCGGACGAGTCCATCTCTCACAGTAAGTCCGGTTTTGGTGGTCAATTTCAATTCTATGCAGTATTTTCATTTCAATGCATATCAAAATAGGAATAAATCACTTGTTAAATCATGGTAATTTTACGTTCTAAGAGAATGGTAAAAAGGAACAAAAGTGAGTGCAGCGTTGTAGAGTAGTGATGCACACACACACACGCACACACACAAGCACAGTTCATTGTATTCACTTACTTTTGATAGATCCTCGCCATCGCTTTACACGCTCTGATTCGATGCTTTATGTCACCCATATTTTTTGCCAGGAGATAATACTCTTGTACATACTACAACCACAAGAAAGGAGCGGGGATGGACCGAATAGAAGATTCTTTACGATAGTTTGAATAAGATTTGGGTACTCTCGATATAGATAAGCTGCATTATCTGCGGATAACACAGGAAAACTATGAAGTGAATACTGACTAAAGATTCCTAATGCGCAACGCCCAAGAAAGACGGTGGATTTTTACATTCAGAATCATGGACCACGGCTATACGGTGGGGATGGAGGTGTGTGTGGGTGGAACGAACGTAGAACTGCTGCTCAGCAGAGAAAATCTGCGCTGCTACTGAGTGAGTTGGAGTGAGTCAAAAGCACAGACTTGCTGAAGAACGAATTATGTCACGATCTAATTCGTTCATAACTTTCGGATACTCCATCCACCTTTACTTAAACATGTCTCCAAACAGATTTGTTTGATGTTCAGCTGTTCGCCGAGCTTAGAAATTGTATTGCAAACGTTTCACCATGCATTTACTGCATTGAGAATGCCACCTCGAGTGGTGATGAACCATTGGCAATACAATTCCAAACTCGGCGAACAACTGAACACAGAATTATACTACAAACAACAATCAAAGATTTATTATAGAAATAACTTAGAAGCTCATGCTTTTCTCATCCCATAGGTTCGTGTTGTGATTAAAAGAAAGTGAGTGATACATACAATGCCTTGTATAAAATGTCATCTGATACGTGCTTCTTCCACTGCTGCACGCAGCTTCACTTACGTTGGAATATAAGATGTGCTAATGTTTCATTGAGTCTCAGTTTGAAAGATTCAATGCTTGGAGCACAGACGATGTAGGATGGGAGAGTGTTCCAGATCGAACACATTCTGACTGCTAATGACTGACGCCGGCATTTTGAGACCACTAGTTTGAATGGATATCCTCTAAGATGAACGTTGGGTGATAGTTTTAGCAGCGGGCGACCCGGATGGATTGGGTGTTGCATTATTTGGTATACTATAATCATATCTCCTCTGCTGCGCCGGAAGTGATTGGAATATAACTCTCTGCATATGAACACCGATTCAACCCCCTGACCACTTTGGTGGCCATCCTTTGTGGACGCTCCAACACTTTGCAATTGCGTTGTAG